GCTGAATCATCTACATAAATAACTCTAAATGTCAAATTTACACGCATTATTTAATCAGTTACCTTGAGAATAATATGTGTTCACTGTCCACTGTATAAATCATCCCCTACCTACATTACCATGCCGTTGGTTTCTGAAGTATCTAAGAAGTAGTTGAGCTTGCATATGTATGCGTTTAGAATACGTGGATTAGATTAGAAAGGAAAGTGAGGTTTTTGCAAAATCATCCTACCTTTTCTCTGGCTCTTGGGGTGCCAGACTGTGCCAATGCCACTAACGGAGGTACAACTCCTTCGTGGAGAACCATGTTGCAGAACTTACTACTGTTAGTGCATAACTGCAGCAAAGTGGTTGCTGCATTCTCCTTACCCCTTGCAGAACTGAGCTCAATAACCTCAACCAAAACAGGAATCCCTCCTTCCTGACCAATTGATTTTCTTCCCTCGTGAATTGTTGCGAGGTTTGATAAAACAGCAACAGCTTTGTCAACCATTCCAGCAGCAGGGTCCATCAACTCTACTAGAAACTTAACAACACCAGCCTGCACAACGCGAGCCTTGTTTTCATGAAGTATTGACAAGTTAAACAAAGCTGCATCATTCTTGCCCCTAGGAGTTCCATTTTCCAATAAATCCACAAGAGGTTTGAATGCTCTAGCCCTCCCTATCTTCATCTTGCAATCCTCAATGGATGAAAGGCTAAAAAGTGTAGCAGCAGAGTTTTCTTTAGCCTCACCACTTCCCGTGTGGAGGACATGAATCAGAGGTTCAATTGCATTAGCATTTGCAATTGAACACTTGTTGTTGTCATTAATTGATAAGTTGAGAAGTGTGGTTACAACATTTTCATGTACTTTCATGTCTTCTGAATGAAGTAAGTTGACCAACAAGTTGATGGAACCACAGTTTGCTATTACAACACGATTATCCATATTATGCTTGGCAAGTAACCGGAGTTCAGTTGTCACATCTCTTTGCACATCAATGGAATTGCTATTCAAATTCTAAATCAACTTCCTAACTTGCTCCTCAAGTTCCAAAGGATCAGTATTTCTTTCAACCACAACAGAAGAAACTATTATAGGAAACCTCTGAGAAGGTCTATGCAAGATGGATTGATTTTGAACTCTTGTCTCCAGCATGGATTGGAATTCCGTCTCCTTTTGTAGAACAAATAATGGAGCAGCAGGTTGGGATTCTGATACATCCTCTGCTGACCTTGAGAACACTTCATTTCCATTGCCAGGAATTGTTGGTGAAAAGTTTGAATTAGATAGCGTATTGGTTGCCGAGGTGGTTCGATTATGACCTACAAGCGAGTGTGAGTTTGGCTCTCCAAAGTTGCCCATCCGTTCTTCAGAACTCCTAATCAATATCCTTTCAACATCCAGACCAAGCATATTATTAGCAACTCCAGGTAAAGAATCATCCAACGAGGAATGGGGATGGGATGGAGATGATCCTTTTCTTTGGTTTATAGTTGATGAAATCAAACTCTTCCTCGGAGAGGTTAAAGAGAGTAGAATCAGGCAATGAAGAGACTTTTGTTTGAAGGGTATATCATTATGTCTTATGTAATTTTACTTTGCTGACCAGCAAGTTTGAACAAAAGAATTAAAATCCGTGTCAATATTGTTCACCTCTAACACTACCTTAAAACTGTATAAGCAAATTATGTGAACTTCCTTGCTTTAGATTTTCTTTTATTTTTCTAATAATCTTCTTAGAAAAGTACCAATTCTTAGGTCGTTTTGAAATTTCCAAGTCCTTGTACGAGCCCTTTTTTAATTTTTCATTCGCTTTTTATGTCCACACATTAGACTGCTGATTAATCTAGTTTTTAGCCGCGTGAGATGTATTAAAGGCGAAAACACCAAGCTTTTGATGGAGTGTACCTCCAAATATCCTTTTTCTTGCACCTAAAAGTATTAATATTATGGAAATTTCAATGGAAGTTACTTAACACTCAAATTCCTTTCACTTCGAATTTTCATATTGGAATAAGTTAATTATGAATTTTATTATCAAAAGAAGAAGGAAAGTGGAAAAGTCAAGCAAGGTCTGCTATTGTCTTCATATCACATCATCAACCAAAATTCCAAGTTCACAAAATGTCAAATTTACTGTTTTTCTAATCCAAACACATGACAAACCATTAAAACACAAAATAATACTTTCTTCATCCCAAAAAAAAATAGTGGTTCACAATTTGAATTTTTCTGATAATTTGCAGCAAGTGTGCTAACAGTGTAAAGACAATTTTATTTTTCTTTTGGAACTAATGATTAAAGGAAAGTTCATTTGGCAATTTGTTTCAGCAATCAAAACATATCGCTACTAAACTCTTCCGATGCTAAATAAAATATCTCATCCAATCCCACCTCCATTCACATACAGCGTTTATAAGTGATGCAATTAGACACTTGTTATATGTATAATAAGCTTTTCACATTCACTTACAATGTTATCGGGGGATGTACCCATGAAAGCCTAGGTAAAATCATTCTTCTATCTCAGCTCACAAATATTACAATATTTCAATAAGCTGAATCCTCTACATAAATAACTCTGAATATCAAATTTGCATGCATCATTTAATCAGTTACCTTGAGAAAAATATGTTTTCATTGTCCAGTGTATAAATCAGCCCCTCCTTGTATTACCATGCCATTGGTTTCTGAAGTAGCTAAGAAGTACACGAGCCTACATATGTGTGCTGTTAGAATACTTGAGTCTGAATAGAAAGGAATCTGTGAGGTTTCTGCAAACTCATGCTCTTTTGGGGTGCCAGACTGTGACAATGCCACTAATGGCGGTACTTCCTTCCTGGAGAACCATGTTACAAAACCTACTATTGTTAGTGCATAATTGCAACAAAGTGGCTGCTGCATTCTCCTTACCTCTTGCAGAACCGAGCTCAACAACCTTAACAAGAACAGGAATCCCTCCTTCCTGATCAATTGCTTTTCTTCCCTCGTGAATGGTTGCTATGCCTTCTATTTCCTCATTTAGATTGATGTTGAACTAGTTATTAATTTAAATTATGTTTCAGCCTCCGTTTCAATTTTCACACGACTTTCCAAGATATGTTATGCCAAGGGTTGGGATCACTTGTGGTTCCAAGTACAGTGTCTCTGCCAGGGAGTAGACCTGGTCATGAAAAACTTGGTATCAGAGTCCTAGGTTAAAGTGTCCTAGGATGTTTGAAAAGCCGCATCTAGCAGAGCCATTTCAATGAGTGTGAAGCGAGCTACACTAATAAGGAAGAGACGACAGGATGTTTAGGAAATATTTCCCTTTTTTCATATTATTGTTTGTGTGATAAAGCTTAACTCTATTTACCTCTTCTAATTTGTGCTTATGTGTATTTTCAGATCATGCCTCTACGAAGAGCTGTTGGTCGTACGATGCAAACCAGAAGCAGAGGACGTCCCGCTAGGAAGGATGAAAACCCTCAGGTACTGCAAGTTCCCGTTGGACCAAAAGGTCCAAATGCACCTGTTGTGCAGCCACCTCAGACTGATGTTACTAATGTTGAGTTTCGCAACGCCATCCATATGTTGGCTCAGGCTATGATAACTCATGTTGATCGTCAAGGAGTAGCCCCTGCGGGCTCCTCGGGTGTTCCTGACACTTCCAGGATTCGTGATTTTTTTAGGATGAATCTATTTAGTTCACAAGGTCAAAGTTGAATGAGGATCCATATAGTTTTGGTGATGAGATTCTAAAGATATTCCAAATGATGCATGTTGGTGATGCAGAGAGTGTTGAGTTGGTTTCGTAGCAGCTTAAGGATGTTGCAAGGATATGGTATGATCAGCGGAAGAAGAATAGGGCTGAGAATGCACCACCACTTCGATATTATTATAGGCATGGACTAGTTACATTCTTGCTATGCCTTAGTTGACTGCAGAACTAGTGTTGTAAAGTTTTATTTTCCTAACGAGTCACTCTTAGAGTGGAAGGATAGTTCTACCGTGCTTAAGGGTCTTTTCATTTCATATCTTAAAGGGCGAAAGGATGATCTCTAAGGGTTATCGCGACCATCTAGTTTGGGTTAAGGATTCTAATCTTGAAACCCCGTCCCTTCCGTCAGTTCCTGGAGTATGTGAGTTTCCTGAAGTCTTTTTCGATGATCTTTCCAGTGTACCCCTTCTGATAGAGAGATAGCCTTTGAGATAGATACTCTTTCTAATACATAGAGATGGCTACAGGCCTCCTGCCTAGTGGCAGAGCTAGGATTTTTAATTAGGGGTTCAAAATCTGAAGAAATAAACATACAAACTAATCGAAGAGGGTTCAACATCTACTTTAAATAGTAATATTTTCCATTGAAGGGGGTTCAGATGAACCCCCTAATAGTATGTTGGCTCTGCCCCTGCGTCCAACTGAGTTAAAAGAGTTGAAATATGGTTCCCCATGGGGTGCCCTAGTCCTTTTTGCACGTCAGAATATATGGTTCTCTCCAAATGTATATCGACCATTGCCAGTTGAATAAAGTCACCATTAAGAATAATTATCCCCTTCCCATAATTAATGACTTGTTCGACCAACTTCAGGAGCCAGTTGTTTCTCCAAGATTGATCAGATGCAGAAAGTCAAACCAAATATTATGAATTTTTAAAATTGTACACTTAAAACAAACTAAACTCAAATAAAATTAATTTATTTTAATCCATTTGGTTAAATTTTTAATTTGAATCTATATTTACTGTCCTTCTTAATTTTGGGCTTCGCCAATACTATTCCAACTGCTCCTAGAGGCAAAACATCCAACGAGTCAAATGTAAGTTTTCTCTTCGAATTCGATTTGAATTAACATTTTTATCAAAAATGGGGCTAACAATCTTCTAAACCCTTTTGTGCTAAAAATCTTCGAAATTTATCCAAAAAATTCGATCTTTTCTTCCTTTTTTGGCCCAATATTCTATATCCCAATGTTTATATTTTTATTTTTTTTGAGTAGTGGTCAAATTTCTAAGGTCAGATAGTTATTTGGGGATTTTGCAGAAATGGGTTCTTTTGAAGGTATAAGAATGGTGTATAGAAATCTACTAAAAGCAGTGGAAAAGCATATAGGGAAGGAAGAACACAAGGTTCATTTCACTGACTTCATAAGGGAAGAGTTCAGGAAGAACAGAAATCTTGAATACCCAAAAAACTCTTCTTTTATCCAACAAAGAATTAACCTTGCTCAAAATTACACTTACCTTCTCAACAGTGTCCACCATCATAAGGTTAGTTTCACTTCTCTAGTTATTTACAATTTTCATTGCACTGTGTTTTTTGTGTTGTAAATACTTTGATTTGCTGCACTTGAGCTGGCCTTGAGGTAGGGGTAAGGTCTGCGTACACTCTACCCTCCTCAGACCCCACTTGTGGGATTACACTGGGTATGTTGTTGCGGTTTTTGTGTTGTACTAGCCACTTTTTGTTTAGAATGTACATCAGATTATAATTATCCTAAACTGTGTGAAGCAAGGGTGTAGGATTGAATTGTTTACATGTCTATGCTTTATATGGGTAAAGAATGTATCATAACATTTCATTGCTAACTATGTTATCCCATGACAATGAAAAGCTGCTTATATGAAGGTGATGTGATGTGATGTGAACTCTTTATCGAGGCAAGTGCTGTTAAGGAAGTGCTCATGAGTTTGATATTGTGGCATCATATTGATACCATCAGAAAAATATCAATAGGGTCAACTCCGTCAATATATCAGCAGAGTATACAATATTTTTTGTTTACAGTAAAAGGATCAACTGAAAAGTAATGATACTACTATTTGTGAAACTTTGTATAATATAGGGGGATTACATGATAAGTTTAGTAGTAGGTAAAAAATCCTTAATTGGATCATAATGTAGAGGTCTTTACTGTTTTAAGTGATAAAAATTAGGAGGGACAAGAAATATATTTCAGTATGTTTTTCTTCTTTTTTCAAAAAGAGGGCTTTCTTGCTTAAGTTTGATTATAAGACATTGTAATCCAGTTGGGTCATTTTTTAAGACAACCGTCTCACAACGTCAATATCTTATCAACACGGATAGAGTTTTCTATGCCTCAAAAATGCAGATTTTTTTTTTCATATTCCTTTCTAGATTACTCATGGGCATAATCCTAACGCTTGTCATGTACTAAACATTTTGACTTTGAATTTGAAATGAATTCTGTTTTCTGATTAATGCTGCATATTCATTCACATCACTGAAGTTAGGGTGTTTTAATCGAGCTTATGTATATATTTTGGTTTTGTCCTTTGTTAACTATTAGTTGACCATAAAGTTGAAACGAATTAAAGGGAGTCATAGGGATATTCAGTGGCGGATCACGGATTTTCACTAAGGGGGTTTGAAAATTAAACATATTAGTGCTTTGAATTTGAACTTGGAACCTCAAAGTAAATTTTAAACCATCTAAACCACAGACTCAACCTACAGTCTTGTGTTTAGGGGATTCAAAATCTGTATATATACACTAAAAAATTAAAAAAACACCTTGTATATACAGTGTAATGTTTTGCCAAGGGAGTTCGGGTGAACACCCTCGCCCCTGGGGATATTACTATTGCTGTTTACAAATCATGTGGCTTTCTTTGTTTATGCAGGACCTATTATTTTCTTACAACATCGCAGTGGATAGATCCAATGAGATGAAGAAAGTGCTGGGTAAATCTGCTGCAAGTGTGGGTCTCCGCCTTCCTGATGTTTATCAGTCTTGAAAGTTGGTAGGTTTTCACTGTTTCCTTTTCCATATACTTGTCTATGTGAAACTGGGGTAAATGATGAATTTATGCTATGAAGTTTGTATATTCCTTTCTAAAGCATGTCTGTGCATGTGTCTCTGGGCTATGTTGAGGTTCATCCCTTGCTTTTTCTTTCTTAGAAAAGAGGGGGTGGGGTGGGGGAATCTGGGATGACAAATCCAATACCTACTCAAGACTAAATTTGAGTTGGCATATTATGCATGTTATATGGAATTAAAGAAAGGGGTTGTTGAAATTAAGGTCTATTAGCCTACTCAATGTTTGTAAAATCATTGATAAGCTATAGACTGAAAGCTTAAAGGTAATCAACAAACTGATCTAGAAATCAAAATACATTTATTAAGGGAAGAACTTTGGGGACAAGTAGATCAGGTGGATCACTACTTGCATTTCTACAGTTAGCTTCTCAGTATTGATAAATAGGAATTCGGAAGGATTCGTCAAATCACAAAAGGGATTGGGGCAAGGAGATCCTTTATCTCTATATTTATTTGTTATGGTTATCGAAATTCTAAGTAAGATGCTCAAAAGAGAAAAAAGATTGGGGTGGATCAGTGGTTTTAAGTTTGAAGGAAATGGTGACAAAAAGGTGGTTGTCTGTCGTTATTTATATGTTGATGACACATTGTTATTGTTTGAGGCAAAGAAGGAACAATTTCTTCATCTTAGGGGGATTTTATTAGCCTTTGAAGCAGTCACAGACCTGAAAATTAACCTTTCTAAGAGCAGCCTATTCAGTATTGATTCTGATAGCAATATTGAAGAGTTGGCTGATATTATGGGATGTAAGGTTGCAGAATTCCCTACTGTATATTTATCCTACCTTATGTATTCTTGACACACCTGAGAATGATAATTGAAGGTATTTTCTCCTATGTTTCAAATCATCCTTTGTTGGTCTCTCTTGCTCTCCTTTTGCTGCAAAAATCCCAGATCTTGCAGTAAGTTGACGGCAACTGATATTCAGTTGAAAAGCACTATCTTCATGAATCATGCAGCACATTTATTGTGGTACACTAAGAAAGTCAGTTGTGGGTTTCACTTATCTCATATTCATACTTGTAGCAGATTTCTCACTTAATCAACCTTTATCTGAATTATCGGCACTAGCCCTTCATTTTTGAAACTGTCCTTCTAATCTAATTTGTGGATTTGGCTTCTAATTGAAGTTCTATAGCTCTTTCAAGTGGTCATTTATGGTGCTGATAGTAAACTGTTCACTGTTGGACTAGAAAACAACACAACTATTTCCTAGATCAAAAAAATGATTGTTTTCATTTCCTGTTTCCAACACACAATAAGACATGTTTGCTCCATTACTATAGTTTGGAATATGTGGTGGTATATAAGTGTGGGATAAAACTTTTGCTGAGCATCAGCCTAATGCATTATAGAACAGGTCACTGATATTCTTCTAGAGATTAAAAGTTGAAGTTCAGGATCTAATGCTGTAATGTTCTGCCCTATTTCCCAATGGGAAATGTTCTTTCCAAGAAATATGATATTACTGCTCAGCCAACGGCCATATTATACTACTTGGACCACCTATCCATGCCAAATATTTTGTTGAGCAGCTTGATAAACACATTTTAGCAGAACACCTTCAGAAGTTTTAAAACATTGTGGTTTTTGTGCCTTCTATCTGTCATTTTACCATCCTGTAGCCATGCCTTTATCTTTAAACATATAGGTTAACTTACTGCATTTTCCTCCAGTTCTGTATTCTGGTATTGATGCTTCAATTGACTGTGTTTAGCTTCAAAACCACATGAACGAGATTGCTTCCTCTCTAAGTAATAAAACATAAACTATGCTTTGAATATTTGCAGTGTTGTCAAAGGTGCGTTTTAAGCGCACTTAAGCCCTGCAGTGAGGCTCAAAATGTGTTGAGCACCTATCCTCGCTTTATGTGCGCTTTAGTGTCATCATTAAGGTTCTAAGGCTTTTGGGTCATCAAAAGAAATCCATTTCTTCCCCCAAATCTTTCTTATCCATGAAATGCACCGGTCATTAATTTTGGTCTCGTGGAGACATAGAATATCCACCTTAATAAGCAAGAGAGATTCTAAAGTGCTTCTCTTATTCTTGTCATTGAACCCCTGAACATTCCAGGTTAAAATCTTCACTTTCATTTCTATCGCGATTTGTGATGCCTGTCCCTGTTTCTCTGGTTACTACCTTGTTATACTCTCCATGATAAATTCTACAGTTCCAATTCCCCTTTGGACTTCCCTCTCCTAGAGCTCGGGGGTGATTCGCCCTGCGACTGCATCTGTGATTTCCTTCTCTCCTCCATTCTTAAAATAATTCCCAGAATAATGTTTGTGTGGCTCTCCTCTTCTCTTTTCATTTATTATGTTCCTTTCTCTTTTTTTTTTCGGTTCTCTTGTTTTTGGTCCAAATTCATATGACGGAACTCTCTGCATGTATTCCTTTATGTCAAAAGTCATAAGCTCTAGCCATAGTAGTTCGACTTTGTTCATAAGAACTCAAATTATTGATGGTCAAAAAGTTCCCTTCTCATAACAGGTGAAGCTTAGAAAGTTCGTATGTGCACAGATGACAGAACTAAGAATCCAGGGAAATTAATCTTCACACTTGTTAATGTAAAGAGACATCGTTTGACCACAGAAACTACGTCATACTATCTTCCATTGTCTTGCACTAGGCAATTATTTATCCAATGCCTAGCCTAGAGTTGGCAAAAATGATACTCTCCACAACTGTCATCCAACAGGTCCAAGATCAGTAGATAACAGTTAATTGATGAGAATTCCATTTTCTGATTGATACTGTTAATTTGCAATGATTCCAAATTCCTATTGGATGTCTCCTTTCCAGCAATGTTGTTGGGATCTGAAAATACTTTCTTTTTGAACCTCTTAAGGAATAGTTCAACCGCAGTGCTACAATGGCAAATTGAGTTTAGGAGCACAGATTGCTAGTTCACTCTTTTAGATAGAATTTAATGTTTTTGAAGCTATGTTGCTTGTAATCTTTTGTTTCTACTACTCAGCCACTTGGGTGGTTGTATTGGATGGTGAAGTGAAATTGGACCTGTTAAGCATCAATGCTTTACTAATAGCAGTGGATCACTGGAAATGCCACTAATCCTAACTCTGTCAACTTATGTACTCCTATTAATTTGCAAATTTTAGGAGTCAGTTGCGTTGGAGAAAATGTGTAAAAATTAACCTTTCATATTAATTCATTTGTCACTCAGTGATCCTAACTCTGTCAACTTTTGTATCACGTCGTTTCCATTTATGTTGCACATTTTCTCAAAACTCTTTTTTTTGTTTGCAGCACATGTATCACGTCGAGGGTGGTTTCAGATAATTCCATATGGGGTTGAAAAACTTGCCAAAAGCAAATGAATTTTGTTGGTAATTCTGATGTTACAGTGTTAAACTTTTGTTTTAAACTATATTCTGGGGAAAATAAACTGTCCTAATGCTCTGAGTAGCTTATTTTGTTCAAACTGCACATGGCTATACAAACTACTATTATTATCTCTTGTGCGTGTGAAGTATTGGGCCTATATTTTGGTGATCTGCCCTAACCGCTTGTATTTTAATTGGTTGGGTGAGTGAATGAGCTAGCTTTTTAGATGGATAAAATATAGGTCGGTCTAAATTTGTATTTAACTCATAATAAAAATATGGATAAAATATGAGTTGGACAAATAAGTTTTGATCTCAACTTTTATTCACTCAAAATTCATGATATATTACCAAAAATGTTGCAACTTTCTTCCTTTTTATGTTCTCTAATAAAATTAATTGTTCTCGTCTGTAATTGAAAAGGTGGAATCTATAATGTAAATTTCTTTCGTTTACTATAAAAAATAATTATTTGTTCAATTTTATATGAGATAAAAAATAATAGTGTAAAGTAAGCAAATTGAATGTTAGTATTGATAAGCTTCAAGTTCATTAAGCATGTTTTACTTCTACAATGTAAATATCATTTACTTTGAAATTAAAATTTGTTGCCCCGTTGTTATTAGACACATTTATTTTATATTGAAAAATTGTAAAACTCCCTTTTGACTTCATGATACACTAAAATTAAATAAAATATTTACAACATTTTTAGTCCAAAAGATACTACAATGAATTTTCTTGATATTGAACCTATTTTTATCCCTAAGAAATAGGTCCAACTACTATCCATTTTATGTTGACTATTTTTGACCGTTCAAGTTGATCAATCTACACATTTGCCACCAATATGCGTTTGCAAAAGATTCATTCAAGCCCATTATATTTGTGGGAACTAGCCGGTGGTGTCTGAACCGATTTATATGAACCTCAATTCTGCCAAATTTTCACTCGTATGGGTATAAAATAGGCGGGTTAAGTTAAAATTGAAACTATTAAAATGAGTTGAAATTGAAATTGAGTTAAGTCCTAATCCACTCAAGTTTACTTTGAACTCAATTAGATTAGGCTCAATTGGGCTTAAAAATAGATTGGGTCTTGATCCACTCAATTTAACCCCGCTTAATCTCAATAATTTTAATATATTGTTATTTAAATTTTATAACCACAATTTGAATTTTAACTTAAAAAATTTGAAAAAAAAAAGTTACTAATAAATAAATAAATTCTAAACAATATAAAAATAGATAGCAGTTCACGCCTTCAATATAAAAGGGTATATTACATCAATACATAAAAAATATTACAACGAATTGAAATTAAAATTTAATTGAACTCAATAGAGAATTCTAAGTCAATTGAAAACTCTCTTAAAATGAATTAAGACTTGAATAAGTTAAAATTGAATCCAATACAAATTATCTTAAACCCTCCTACCCATAAAATTTTTGAACGAATGGAGCGAATTACCTATAATCAAGGTCCTTTTTGAGACTTGTGTCTCACTGGCATCATTTTTATTTTATAACTGCCCAACTATTTATAACTTATCCTAGGTCACTAATTTTTAAAAAGTCCCATCTTTTTTTGAATTTTGTGCTAGCCAACCACGAAATTTTCTCTGCCTATTTATCCCCAACCCGATCAAGTGTTAAAAAATAAAACGTTGTAACTGTAAGCAAAAAATTTGTTGACGTAAGCTTTACTGGCAACTGGTGAGCGAGATTAGGTGTAGGATAGTAGTTTCCCGTGGCATTCGTTGAAACAACTGAAGCTGCCAGGGTAGAAGAGTTCTCAATATTATCTCCCATTCGAATAGTCGTTCTGATTATTCAAAGAATTTTTATTTTTTGGAACGAAAGAAAGAATGGTGTTAAACCACAAAAGGCTCTAATACCATGTAAGAGATATTCATTCATAAAATATGTACAGCAATATGAATATATAGGTAGACGAAACACAGAGTCCTATAAGAACTAGGACACAGATTGAGGAGAAATAGTCTCCTAAGACATCACAACTTACCCACCCTTTTACATAGATAGATTAGATATAATAGGGATCTATCTAAGCCTATCCGTTACAGTAACAACATCACAGAGTATTTACATTGAGCAACCAACAACACTTGCAACAATAATGATCTCATATTAGATGTCCATTTAAAATGGAGAAAACGTTAATTAAATTTTTCCTATGAGTGAATTAGTAGAATTATTTTTTTATTTATAATTTCTTAGTATAAGTCTGAAAATAGTAATCAACTTAAAAAAGAAAGTCGTCTGAAAAAAAACTTATATAGGACAATTGAACGGTTGGAGTATTATAGTTATATAAATGGAGGGACTATTAAGAACATTAAGAAAATAAAAAGAAGGCAGAATAAGAAATTAAAATAGTATTTATTGGAGAATACAGAGAGTATTATATTATCCAACCAAGACATAGAGTGCATAAATAATGCCCGGTATGTATCCCAGTATTGTCAGCAACACACAAATCCAAAACTCCACCTGCATGCATTAATAATACATCAGAATTCCTAATATGTTATGCACATGAAATTAAAATGAAAATTTTGAAAGGTGTCAATTATTCCTTCAAATTAGTCACATGCAATCCATACTCTTACATTGTATATGTAAGTTCTACACTTAAACATGTATAAAATTAAACAAATAAACACATCCCTTCTACGTAGCGTCCTATACTTTTATGTTCCATGTATGTGGCACCCTACATTGTATTATATAATTGTTCAATTTTATATAATAACAATTGTTCAATTTTATATAAATTTAAGTGTCGAATTATGCACATCCGAAGTTGTTAGACATAAATATCAACTATGTATTGTATCTAATAACAAATACTCAATTTAAGTAGTGATGGATGTAATTAAAAAAGATGTATGTTGTTTAATTAGGGAAAAAAGAGGACTTACACCACAGCCATATCGTAGGAAAACACCAACAGGAGGAAGTAAGATAGCAAGGATGACTTCAAGAAATGTTTCAGAACCCATTCTTCTTCTTTTTTCTATAAAAAAAACTTGAGAATTAAAAAGAAGAAGTGAATGAAGGAGTTAATTAAGAGGGGAGATATATGATGATATGCACAATATTTGTGTCGGCTAATAAAGGCTTAAGCACACACGTGGAAGCACATCAACACGTGGGATCCTATGCTTGCCTTTATGTGTCTTTTCGTTTCCAACCTCCTTTTTAAAAAAAAAAAAATCAAAGTCGATCCATCTATCCGTTTTGCTTTTACTGTTATATCAGAAGTTATTCCATATATTACTTGACAATTGACATAAAATGAATTTATTTTTGCCTTTTGTTAGATCTTTTTCATGACTCGATGGATAAATTGATAAGCTAATAAATTTTTTCTATGTTTAAAATACGATATCCATTACTTTTGAATGCAATCTATATAAAAGTCCGGTGTATGTTATTTTATTTATATGATCTTACATATCATATATTTATATAAAAGAGAACCCTAGGCCTGCTTATGTCGCGTCACTACAAGTTAGAATTTCCTTTTAAATTTATTTATTTTCAAAAATAGTCTTCCCCTTTCATGAAAAGATGTAACTTTTATGGAGAGTTGCGACTTTTATAAAAAAAAATGTGATTTTTATGGAAGGTTGTGACCTTTCTGAAGGGTTGTGACTTTTCCAAAGGGTTGTTACTTTTCCGATAAGGCACAATAAGTATTTGTTCACACTACCCTTTGTTGTCTATAAATAGAGGGATTTCGTCTCATTTTAAGAAAACGTAAATTCTGAACTTTTTCTTCTTCTTCTTCTGCACAATTAAATATTCGTGTACTTTGCTCCTGTCGAGTGACTCACTGCCACCATTATTTTTGTATAATACACTTGTGAATAGAATCGTTCCATCCTAAGAGGATCTATTCCTTTAAACCTCAGGTACTAGAGGGGAATGATTTCCTTAATGGAGCACTTTGCATTCAGTGGGCACAATTTTTTCCTTTGTGTTTCATTCCATTGTTATAGATCCTGGTATATTTTTTTACATTCATGAATTTATGCTTATGATATTAATTGTTGTTTTTGAGTACATGTTTTAAACTTTGTTGTTTATGTTTCTGCAAAGTTAATGTTACAAGTATTTGTTAGTACAAAAAAAGATTATTTATTTATTAGAAAATTTAATATCTCATGTTGATGTTCATCTAATTTCTCAAAATATCAAATCGTAACACTTCCGGGAGGCAAAAGGATAAATTATAAAATCAAATTAAAGATGATTGATAGAAGTATAGATGATAAGATGTTATAATTATCATTTTTCTTTACATTATTAATGTTTGTTACTAGGCGCCACCACAAACAAGGATTCCCTTTTAATTTATTTATTTCCAAAACTAGCCTTCCCCTTTCATGAAAAGTTGTGAATTTTATGAAAAGTTGCGACTTTTATGAAAGGTTGCGACTTTTACGAAAGGTTGTGACGTTTATGAAAGGTTGTGACCTTTCTGAAGGGTTGTGACTTTTCCAAAGAGTTGTGACATTTCCGATAAGGCACAATAAGCATTTGTTCACACTATCCTTTGTTGTCTATAAATAGCGGGATTTCCTCTCATTTTAAAACAACGAAAATTCTGAACTACTTCTTCTTCTGCACAATTAAATATTTGTGTACTTTGCTCCTATTGAGTGGCTTACTGACACTATTATTTTTGTATTAATACGTTGGTGAATAAAATCGTTCCATCCTGAGAGAATCTAATTCTTTAAACATCAGGTATTAGAGGTGAATAGTTTTCTTTAAGTGTAACGACTCGAAAAATTGGTAAGTGAACTAGAGCCCAAACGTGAGGGTTAAGTCAGGGCAAGGGCAAAGGGTTTTGGGTGAAGGCCATGGTTAGGGGACCAAGGTTGCCTAAAACTTGGCCTAGCCACTGCCTACCAAGACCACGAGGGTCTTCACGACCCGTGGTGGCCACCACGAGTCGTGGTGCCACCAGTGATTGGCAAGGCAGTGTGCCCTAGGAAGGTGCCAAGCCAAGGCTCCCCTTCATGAGCCACTTCACGGCTCGTGGTCATGACCACGGGCCATGGGAAGGCTTGTGGGGTTGCCTTGGCCTTGGGAGAGAATTTTAAGATGAGGGAGGCACTGGTCTAGGGACCATGGGTACCACCACGGACCGTGGTGCCCTTGACAAGGCGTGAAGGTGGACGTGAATACCACTTAGGTGCAATGGGAGACAAGGCTTCAAGGCCTTGGCACTGGTCGTGGTTTTGACCACGACCACCACCACAACTCGTGGTCTTGACCACGGATCGTGGAAGGTCTCGTGGTCATGCCTTAGGCCCTTGAAGGCTTTGCATCTTGAGGAAGGCTACTGCCTAAGGGACCACATGCACCACCATGAGCCGTGGTCCCTTTCACGACCTGTCCAAGTGGGCGTGGTCCCTGATGGGGATGCTTAAGTTGAGGGGTTTTAGGTAATTTCATTTTAATTAATTATTATGTGGGGTCATTTTTAATAGTTTTATATAACTTATATAAATAGTTTTAAGTCTTAAAATACTTCATTTACTCCTTTATTCTTCAAAACCCAAATCAAATCAAAGGCTCTTCTCCTTTCCAATATTTCTCTCTAGAAGTTCCCAAAGAAGAAGAAGAAGTGGGAGCTAGGGTTTGTGGATTCAAGGTGTTTCTTCCTCAAATTTCTTGGGGATTCACAAGCAAGGTATAGTAGTCTTCATCCTTGACTAAGTTTCATTCAAGGAGCCAATTCCAAAATATGATTTCAAGTTCCAAATTTACCCAAAAAGTAGGGTTTTGAATCGAAGCAAGGGTTCAGTTCCAAAACATTTTCAAGGGTTAATAGTTGATGATTTATGAATGAGAATTGGTGTATTTATGATGATTTACAGTGAATTCCCCATGAACCCATGTTCTTCCCCAAATTACTAAATTGAATGTTGGTGACTTGGTTGGTTGATTATGGAAGTATGTTGATGGATTATGCCTAAATTGATTTAGATTATTGAATTGCATCATTGTTCATGCCTAATTGTGGTATTCTAAGATATGTTGGTGAATGATGGTTCATAGCCTTGGAAGACAATTTCATGAAGGCTAATGCATGAGTATGATGTTATGAAAATGATTATGATTCCAATGAAAGTTATATGATCATATCTATGATGTAATTGTGATAATATTGAAAGGTTCATTCTCAATTGTACACATATGAATGATGATGATAGAATGTGAAGGGTTTCTATAATGTAATGTTATATCTTGAATTGGTAGGCTTATGCATCATATTCTTGTATAAATGAAAGTAAGGTGGATTGATGTATCTTGAATTGGTAGGCTTAGGCATCCTATTCTTGTATGATGAATGTGTCTTGACTTAATGAATATGAATCGATAGGCCAATGGCGTTCCTTTCATAAATGAATGATGAAGTGTTCTAGGCTATGTCTTGAACCGGTAGACCTAGTGTTGGTAGCCCTTCATGATGAGTCTAGAAACTAATGTCATGATAAACCTTGAATCGGTAGACCTAGTGTTGGTGGCCCTTTCATGTGTGAAATGATGAACCTTGTATCGGTAGACCCAATTTTGATGGTACCTTCCTTAGAAAGTCAATGAGCTATCCTTAATGGATGTTGAATCGGTAGACCTAATGGTGGTGGACCTTTCACGTGTAATGTACTTTGGGTCGGTAGGCCTAATGTTGGTAGCTTTCTCAAGTACAATAATGTTAATGAAAATGAAATACTCTATGGGAATGAAGGCTAAGCACCGAGTGGATATGGTAAAATGGAAACTCTTCCAATGTTAGGTTAGGGTTCCAATGAACATCTTCCTATCCCATAACTATGTGCCCACATAGGATATTAGCTAGTGGAATCCGCTTATGCTAAAATGTTCCCGGTCCTACCTTAGGCAAGTAGACCACCTATTTACGGTGTGGGGCTATATGACACCGAATTCCATGGTTTGCTCTCCTGGTCATGTTGGTCAATGGTTATTCCCATCATGTGAGATGTGCATTATGGTTTCTTGAGGAGTTCTATGAAGTGTGGGTGGTAGTATGGGATGCTATCCATGCATTGCACGAGTAGTCTTTGATAGGGATACAGTGAGATCTCTAATGGCTTCATGACTAATGTATGAATGTGCTCTTAATGAAGCTAATGAAGAATGTTGACTTAAATGTCTAATGTAATGATGCATGCTATACTTGGATTGCTTTATGAGTTACTTCCTTGTCGTGACTTATAAAATGTTTATGTATTGTATGTATGAGTATTGTGGAAAGATGGAAATGATGAATGGTAGTTCACTTTTGGTGGCCTTGATGTGGTACTTAGTGTGGATGGTGGTATGGGACGCTATTCATACATTGCACATAATTTAGCTAGGGGTTGCTTGAGGTGAAAGCTTGATGTAATGAAATGTCTTATATGGTTGATTATGTTCCAATGTGAAGAAATGACTTGTATGTTGGTTATGTTCCTATGTGAAGAAATGACTTGTATGTTGGTTATGTTTGTATATTATGCCTCTTATACTTATGTTAATGAAGTTTTCTCAAATTGGCATATAAGCATGACTTTCAAATAAAATGTCTGTTTAAGCATGTTTTTGCATGGCTATCATACTTAGTGCTTAATTGTGCTAACCCATATTTCTCTTATTTTAATACAAGTGTAGGTTTCGACAAGTGAGTTGCTTTATCTCTAGTTCAAGAGCTTGGATTGAAATTCTTCCAAGACTAAGTGGTATGTCCTCATTGATCGAGGACAAGTACTTTTGATGTTCCATTTTCTTTCATGTAATAGACATATGTTAGACTTTCGATTGTAAAGGGTTGTGACCCTACTTTTGTTTTCGAGATATTGTTTTAGATGGCCATGTGAGACAATAGACTTCCGCTGTTTTAATTGAGTATTTTCAATTGTATGGATTTAAATAAGTTTTAATTTCGTACCATTTTCCTTAAATCAAATGTTATGAATGATATGAGGCTTGTATGAGTCTTTTTGGAGTCTTATACGCCATGTCGCTTCTGGGGTGTAGACTCGGGTCGTGAAAAATATGGTATCAGAGCATAAGATTTTGGAATGGTTTTTAGGATTGATGTCTCACAAGCCACGTCTAGTAGGGTCTTGTTCATCGGTGTGAGTCGTGACACATCTATGAGTGAGAGACTATAGGGCGTTAGAAAGCTACACTTCTTCCATTATTCTTGAAGTTGTGCCATAGTGTTTAGCTCTATAAGAGTCATTTTTCTAACCCTTATCTTATGTTTATAGGATATGAATACAAGGGCGAACACAAGAAGGATGGAAGAGGAGATTGTGAATGAGGGACTTCCTCAAGGTGACCAAGTTCCTCTAGGCAATCAAGTTCCGGTGGATCCCCCAACCATGACCAATGAAGAAGTTAGGTTGGCTCTTTTGATGATGGCTCAAGCCGTAACTACTCAAGCCGAAGCCATGACGGCTCAAGCTACTAGGGGTGTTGAGGCAAATATGAACCCTATTGTGAGCACTATGGCTTCTAGGTTGAGCGACTTTGTGAGGATGAATCCTCCGGTATTTCTTGGTTCCAAGGTGGGAGAGGATCCCCAAGAGTTTTTGGATGAGGTGTATAAGGTAGTTAATGCTATAGGGGTGACTTCTATAGAAAAAGTGGAACTAGCCATCTATCAATTGAAAGATGTTGCCCAAATTTGATTTTCTCAATGGAAGAGTAATAGGCCAGTAGGAGCGAGGCCTATAGATTGGGAATTGTTCAAGGAAGAATTCCTTGGTAAGTTCTTTCCCAGTGAGAAGAGGGAGGTTAAGATGGAGGAGTTTATCAACCTTAGGCAAGGTAACATGAATGTTCAAGAGTACTCCTTGAAATTTACCCAATTGTCTAAGTATTCCCCATCTTTGGTGTCAAACCCTAGGGATGAGATGAGTCAATTTGTTACGAGTGTATCTGACCTAGTTGAGGAAGAGTGTCGTACGGCGATGCTCCATGATGATATGAACATTTCTAGGCTTATGGTGTATGCTCAATCTATTGAGGAGTCCAAACTTAAGAGGAAGAATAGGGAGTTGAAGAGAGTTAGGTCCGATGAGCAAGGTCAACCAAGGTTCAAAAAGAGGAGTTCTAACCAAGATTCTTCAAGAACTCCTAGAGTTAACCAAGAGAAAGGTGGTGGGTCTTCATTTTCTAAACCTGCTTGCACCGCTTGTGGAAAGAAGCATTTTGGGAAGTGCCTAGCCGGTACTAATAGGTGCTATAGTTGTGGGAAGAATGATCACCAAGTGAGAAATTGTCCTACTCTTACGACCAAAGGAAGGGAGGCTAAACAAGCTTCTCTTGATGGCCCAGATCCTAATGCTCCAAAGAAAAATCGCTTATATGTACTTCAAACCAAAGAGGGCAAAGGAGCTCATCCGAATGAAGGCACCGGTAAGTGATGATTTCTTATAGTTGTGAATGTCTTGTTGAGGTCCCTATGTTGTTTTCATGTTTGCCTTAGAATGGGTTTACTCCTAAGGGGGAGATGATATGTTGAATAGCAAGATTGTTGAGAGATACGACATCCTTATCACTTTTCTTCTATTCCTATTCAAGCTTGAGACCAGGAGTTCCTTGTAGCTTGTTTAATGTTTTGGAGTCATGTGTGAATATGTGTTTCCATGATCTCCTTATGTTATGCATGTTTTGATGAAATTTATGTGTAATGAGAAAATGAGTTTTTGATTGATTGTGTTCCTCATATTGATGTGCATCTATAATGAGTTGCCTAAATGCTTCATGAGTTGAATTGATGAGCATGCTTAAATGTGTTTTTGAGAAGAGTTGCATAAATTGCCTTATGATGTTGTAATGAGCATGATGTGAGTTGGAGAAGGAAATTCCTCCAACGAAATGAGAAATGTTGATGTTTTGGTGGATAATGAGTTTGTAGTGTAGTTCCTACTTCCTTGTGTTGCATTGAGCCTATTGATGTGGAGTTGATGTTTCCTCCTATGATTTTGTGCATTGTTTATGATGTTGCATGCATGATGGGCTACTAGTCTTGAGTCGTTATCCCTTTAATGTGTTTAAAGTGTCATTCGAGGACGAATGTTCCTAACGGGGAGATAATGTAACGACTCGGAAAATTAGTAAATGAACTAGAGCCTAAACGTGAGGGTTAACAACAAGGGTTAAGGGCAAAGGCTAAGGGTTTTGGCTGAATGCCATGGTTAGGGGACCAAGGGTGCCTAAAACTAGGCCTAGCCACTTCCTACCAAGACCATGAGGGTCTTCACGACCTGTGGTGGCCACCACGAGTCATGGTGCCACCCGTGGTTTGCAAGGCAGTGTGCCCTAGAAAGGTGACAAGCCAAGGCTCCCCTTCACAGCAATTACATGGCTCGTGGTCATGACCACGGGCCATGGGAAGGCTCGTGGGGTTGCCTTGGCCTTGGGGGAGAATGTCAAGATGAGGGAGCTACTGGTCAAGGTACCATGGGCGCCACCACGGGCCGTGGTGCCCTTGACGAGGCGTGAAGACCACTTAGGTGCAATGGGAGGCAAGGCTTCAAGGCCTTAGCACTGCCTCAAGACCACGGCTCGTGGTCTTGACCACAAATCGTGGGAGGTATCGTGGTCATGCCTTAGGCCCTTGAAGGCTTTGCATCTTGAGGAAGGCTACTGCCTAAGGGACCACAGGCACCACCACGAGCCGTGGTCCAATTCATGACCCGTTCAAGTGGGGGTGGTCCCTGACGGGGATGCCTAAGTTGAGGGGTTTTAGGTAATTTCATTTTAATTAATTATTATGTGGGGTTGTTTTTAATAATTTTATATCACTTACATAAATAGTTTTAAGTCTTAAAAGACTTCATTTACCCCTTTATTATTTAAAACCCAAATCAAATCAAAAGTTCTTCTCCCTCCCGATATTTCTCTCTCTAGAAGTTCCCAAAGAAGAAGAAGAAGAAGAAGAAGAAGTGTGAGCTAGGGTTTGTGGATTCAATGTGTTTCTTCCTCAAATTTCTTGGGGATTCACAAGCAAGGTATAGTAGTCTTCATCCTTGACTAAGTTTCTTTCAACGAGTCAATTCCAAAATATGATTTCAAGTTCCGAATTTACCCAAAAAGTAGGGTTTTGAATCTAAGCATGGGTTCAATTCCAAAACATTTTCAAGGGTTAATATTTGATGATTTATGAATGAATTGGTGTATTTATGATGATTCACAATGAATTCCCCATGAACCCTGTTCTTCCCTAAACTACTAAATTGAATGTTGGTGACTTGGGTTGGTTGATTATGGAAGTATGTTGATGAATTATGCCTAAATTGATTTAGATTATTGAATTGCATCATTGTTCATGCCTAATTGTGGTATTCTAAGATATGTTGGTGAATGATGGTTCATAGCCTTGGAAGGCAATTTCATGAAGGCTGATGCATGAGTATGATGTTATGAAAATGCTTATGATTCCAATGAAAGTTATATGATCATATCTATGATGTAATTGTGATAATATTGAAAGGTTCATTCTCAATTGTGCACATATGAATGATGATGATAGAATGTGAAGGGCTTCTATAATGTAATTTATATCTTGAATTGGTAGGCTTATGCATCCTATTCTTGTATAAATTAAAGTAAGGTGGATTGATGTATCTTGAATTGGTAGGCTTAGGCATCATCTTCTTGTATAATGAATGTGTCTTGACTTGATGAATATGAATAGATAGATCAATCGTGTTCCTTTCATAAATGAATGATGAAGTGTTCTAGGCTATGTCTTAAATCAGTAGACCTAGTGTTGGTAGCCCTTCATGATGAGTCTAGAAACTAATGTCATGATAAACCTTGAATCGGTAGACCTAGTGTTGGTGGCCCTTTCATGTGTGAAATGATGAACCTTGTATCGGTAGACCCAATTTTGATGGTACCTTCCTTAGAAAGTCAATGAGCTATCCTTAATGGATGTTGAATCGGTAGACCTAATGGTGGTGGACCTTTCACGTGTAATGTACTTTGGGTCGGTAGGCCTAATGTTGGTGGTCCTCTCAAGTACAATAATGTTAATGAAATGAAATACTCTATGGGAATGAAGGCTAAGCACTGAGTGGATATGGTAAGATGGAAATTCTTCCAATGTTAGGTTAGGGTTCCAATGAACATCTTCCTATCCCATAACTATGTGCCCACATAGGATATTAGCTAGTGGAATCCACTTAAGCTAAAATGTTACCGGTTCTACCTTAGGCAAGTAGACCACCTTTTTACTGTGTGGGGCTATATGGCACCGGATTCCATGGTTTGCTCTATGGTCTATGTCAATTAATGCTTATTCCTATCATGTGAGATGTGCATTATGGTTTCTTGAGGAGTTCTATGAAGTGTGGGTGGTAGTATGGGATGCTATCCATGCATTGCATGAGTAGGCCTTGATAGGGATACAATGAGTTCTCTAATGTCTTCATGACTAATGTATGGATGTTCTCTTAATGAAGCTAATAAAGACTGTTGACTTGAATGTCTAATGTATTGATGCATGCTATACTTGGATTGTATTATGAGTTACTTCCTTGTCATGACTTATAAAATGTTTATGCTTCTTTTGTATAAGTATTGTGGAAAGATGGAAAGGATGAATGGTAAGTTCACTTTTGGTGGCCTTGATGCGTTACTTAGTATGGATGGTGGTATGCGACGCTATTCATATATTGCACATAGTATAGCTTGGGGTTGCTTGAGGTGAAAGCTTAATGTAATGAAATGTCTTATATGGTTGATTATGTTCCAATGTGAAAAAATGGCTTGTCTGTTGGTTATGTTTGTATATTATGTCTCTTATACTTATGTTCATGAAGTTTTCTTAAATTGGCATAAAAGCATGACTTTCAAATAAAATGTTCATTTTAACCATGTTTTTGCATGGCTATCATACTTAGTACTTAATTGTGCTAACCCATATTTCTCTTATTTTACTATAAGTGTAGGTTCCGGCAAATGAGTTGCTTTCTCTCTAGTTCAAGAGCTTAGATTGAGATTCTTCCAAGGCTAAGTGGTATGTCCTCATAGATTTAGGACAAATACTTTTGATATTCCATTTTCTTTCATCTAATAGACATATGTTAGACTTTCGATTGTAAAGGGTCATGGCCCTACTTTTATTTTCGAGATATTGTTTTAGATAGCCATGTGAGACAATAGACTTCCGTTGTTTTAATTGAGTATTTTCGATTGTATGGATTTAAATAAGTTTTAAGTTCGTACCAGTTTCCTTATATCGAATGTTATGAATGCTATGAGGCTTGTATTAGGCTTTTCGGAGTCTTGTACGTCGTGTCTCTTCTGGGGTGTAGATTCGGGTCGTGACATTAGGGGACACTGTGCATTCTGCGAACTCGATTTTTTCCTTTCTATTTCATTATATTTATACATATCCTAGTATGTGTTTTTTTACAATCATTAATTTATTCTTACGCTATTAATTGTTATTTTTGAGTGCATGTTTTAACTCTATTGTTTATGTTTCTGCAAAGTTATTGTCTCCGGTTATATTGAACATATACACATATAGTACGTATTATCATTGTGCGGAAAATAATTATTGTACTCAGTTCCAAGAATTCATGTTTTGATATTTTATATAATATTCTATAACTTAAAAGTACTATATATAAGCTTACATATTAAAAAAGGTTTTATATAGAGATGAAGTTTCTCACTATCAATTGAAGAAATTCATTATGCAAGTTCAAAAGTTATAATTGCTTTCATGTTCAAGCATAATTTCTTTTTTGAATCTGTTAACAAATTTTTGAATTTTTTCCACAGACATATATCACATTTGTATAATTTATGTAACTTAAATGTGTTCTTTTTCTTACGATGCTTTTGTATATATATATATATATTCTTATTTTCATCTATATTTTTCTTTTAATGTTGATTAAATAACCAATGATTTATTATTACCTGCATAATTCATTCATTAGAGGTTCTTGAGTTATGTGATAATGACAAATAATCAAATTTATGCTGGAATATTGCTAATATATTTTTAAGAACCTATTTTTTCCATTATTTTTAATGTATGGATATTAGTTAAGGATTATTTGCAAGTTCAACGTAATTGTTATTTATTCGCGCGGGCAAATTACCTAGTCATATATATATATAAGAGAATCATAGACCCGCCTATGTGGCGCCCTCACAAATCAGGATTCTTATTTAATCCTTCTTAAAAGTCACAACCTGACGAAAAATTCACAACTTTTCATAAAAATCACAATTTTTTAGAAAAGTCAGAACTCTTCATAAAAGTTAAAACTTTTCACAAAATTCACAACTTCTCACAAAAGTCACAACTCTTCATTTTTCATTCACACCTTTTAAAACCCAATACTTAATTCCAATGCATCAAAAGAAGAAAGAATAAACAAAAAAAATTAATTTCAATTGCAACGCAACATTACTATTCTTGCGTCTCTCAGTCCACAACTCAGAACACTGTTGGAATGGTTGAATTCATAATATTTGATTCTTTAGTAAACAAAACTTCTATATTTGCCACTATTATTTGTAGAGTTTTTTCTGCTATAGGGGAGTCGAATTCAAATACATTAATTAAGCTTCTTATTAAGTGTATTTCATTCCCCAAAGTTTTCTTCCTCCTATTTCATGAAGCTTAGTCTTTTACTATAAGTCATAGTTATTCATGTAACTATTGCAATTTTCTTTTTGGCAACCAATGTGAAAATTACCATTAACAAACAAACAAAAACTTACAAACTAAGAGCATCCCAACCTCAGTACCTTAACTAGTATTAGAGGAGTGACCTCATCAACTCAAACTACTTACATAAATTCTGCCAAAAACTCCTACATCTATGTGCTCTTTCAGTATTCTTATACATGTCTATCCTCACTATAAGTTCTCGAATTATTCCCTCCACTATGTCACTATACTGTATTTGTACTCCTTTGAAATGCTTCCCAAATAGCAGTCACCACCTCTTTCTTAAACTTCTTCCAATGCTTCAACTTTATCATCTCCAATGTAGTTTTTAACTCTCTTGCAGGAATAAAGATGTTGGCCCATTGTAGTAATTTGGCTCTCACCTTTGCAACATATTCACACTCTACAAACAGGTGCTTGTGCGACTCTATCATTCCATTTTGACACAGGCAACATCTATTGTCTTATACATATACTCCCATATTTATCAACCTATCCTTTGTGAGCAATCTATTTTGCATTGGTAGCCACAAAAAGAACCTCTTCCTAGGTAATACGACAGAGTTCCAAACTAATTCAGCCACCTCAAGTTTCTCGCATTATATCCACTTGTAATTGAATACTCCTTATTTGCTGTAAGGTTGAACTGCCCTTGCGTATACCATTGTTGCATCATATTTTTCAGGGAGTTTATTTTCCTCCAGTACCAACTACTATCAACTGGTTCTTTGTGAGTCCAGACTGTATCAGTTTTTATGTAAATCTCATGCACCCATTTCACCCATAAGGATTCCTTCCTCATAACCAATTGCCATAAAAGCTTTCCAACAGAGGCTACATTTCATTTACCACATCCTTTTATATTAAGTCCACCCTGCTTCTTTGGATAATATATTTTCTCCCAGGAAACAAATGACACTTTCCTGTTTTCCTCATTACCTCCCCACAAATATTCTCTGCATTTCTTGTCTACCTCTTTCACTACACTCTGAGGTAGGATGAACACTGAGCCCCAAAAACTGCGTATGGAGAACAAGACTGCCAAGATCACTTGAAGTTTGCCTGCATAGGAAAGTTGTTTTGCATAGGTGTACTTGATCATGCTTGTTATTTTATCAACTAGCTGATGGCATTCCATTTTTCGCCACCTTTTTTATGTGAGTGGGAGTCCCAAATATCTAATGGGAAAAACTTCTTGTGTGAATCTAGTAATTGCCAGGAGCTGCTCCTTCACATTGTCAATCACACCTGCTAAGAATAGACTAGACTTCTCCATATTGGCCACAAGCCCAGTGGTAGCACTAGAATGTAGCAAAGCTTCCATAAATCTTGCAGTAGATTTAATATCTCCTTTACAGAAGATCATTAAGTCATCTGCAAACACCAAGTGGTTTAATCTGATATCTTTGCACATAGGATGGAATTTAAAATCTGGCAGATATGACATACTCTTCAGCAGCCTTGAGAGGTACTCCATAACTAGTACAAATAGTAAATGAGATACAGGGTCCCCTTGTCTCAGTCCTCTTTTTCCCTCAAAATATCCATAGCCTTCCCCATTAATCTTGAAAGTATATTTGGGAGTTGACACACATATCATGATCCATCTGATGATTTTTTGTGGAAATCCATACCCTTGCAGAGCTTCCTCTAGAAATTCCCAGCTCACCATATCATATGCCTTCTTTAGATCAATCTTTTTCAAACATCTAGGAGTAGTCTTCCTGTTATAATGTCTCAACAAGTCATGACAAATCAATATATTATGGATCATTGATCTTCCTTCCACAAAGGCTGCTTGATTATCATCTACTAAATGACTTAAGGCTCCTTTTAGTCTTGTGCAAATCATTTTTTAGATGCATTTTTAGATTACATTACAACATGCAATTGGTCTAAATTGACTTGCCTGCTCTGGTGCCTCCACTTTTGGAATGAGTACAATGTTAGTGGCGTTCACTTGCTTCAGTAGGTGCCCATTCAGGAAGAACTCCAAGACTACTTATGTTATATCTCCACCTACTGTTCCCCATGCCTCTTTAAAGAAGCCACTACCATAACCATCAGGACCAGGGCTTTTTGTATTGTCTATATTAAACATGGCTTGCTTGACATCAACTTCAGTGAATGGCTCAATTAGCTGCATTTGATGATTTATTCCAAGGACATGCCCATTTTGCAGTACCACCCTTTGAGCTTGAATTCTGGATGCTATTTTTTCTCCTAATAACTTCTTGTAGTAATTCACAAAAAATTGTGCTATATTTGCTTGGTCAGTTTGCCATTGTCCACTCTCATCTTTCAATTGAGTAGTTGCCAATTTTAATCTTCTATTGCAATTTATTTTTGCTATTTTGGTGACTTTTCTTGAACTCTGTTAAAAATCCCAGCACGAATGTTGAAAATTGATCTTCTCTTTTGTCCCTTTCTACAAGATTTTTCATATGCTTTTTGAGAAAATTTCATGTAGGCTGTGTTATATTTGATAGCATACAACAACAAATATGTGATAGCCAATACGAACCAGTGGTAAAGTTTGTTAAAAGAACCAAACAAATTACTTTGTTGGTTGCTACATTTAGTATATTATTTTTATTGTTTTATCTTAGGTACAAACATTTTGGATGTCATTGAACTCTTCCTAGAATATTATTATAGAGACAATTAGTCCACTTCTTTTATCGCAAGTTGACTAATTTGTCATTTTTCTTCCTCTCTTCTTTTTGGGCATAATAAGAGATCAAGTTTTCTTGAAACTAATAGATGCTCAAAATATACTATAACAAAAATAATTTTTATAGGAAATAATTATGCACATTAACGAAGAGTACTAGGGCATTTACCGACATCAATTAATTGTCATTAGATTCAATGTCGCTATAGACTTTAGGGACATTTATAGAGAGTTTTAGTTGCCTCTGAAAATACATCTTAGCGGCAATTAAACTATTAATTATCATAAAAGATCATTTTTACTATAATGATAACTCTTTCTTTTGGCTTCTTTCAATTAAATTTGTGAACTGTAAACATGGATACAACCTGACAGACTATCTTTTTGAAAAATATGTTAAGCAACATGCCTTTTTATTCTTGATTGTTAGGAAAGTGAGGTCGTCTTTATTATTTTTTGTGGATATTTGTGAATTCAAGTGCTCACAAAATTATGATGTGAGACTTTAATATGTTATGTATCAAAATTTTGGTTTAAAATATCATGTTCTGAACTGTTCCATTCAGATGCCACCTATGGCTTGGTTGATCATTGCATTATTTCTTTGTAAGTGCTTATTATAACCATAACAATAACTATGGTTCAATTACAAATAAGTTGCGACCGGTGATATGAAACCTAAGCAATAGTAATGACTATTCAAAGACAGTGGGAATAAACCTTGATGATATTTATAATTTTAGGATCATTTTTGACATATACATGATACGACATACTATAATAAAAAGGAGATTGATGGAGGTTCATAAGAAAGGAGCCAAAGGTCCTCAATTTGAATTTAGTTAATTATGTTCTTGTATGAACGTGATGTTCCACTTTACTTGGGAGTGTTGTTGTTCAAGAATTTTTTGTTCTTTTTTTAACCGATGATGTTGTTCCTTACAACTTCCTGGAATTTAGAAATTTTGTTACTTCTGACCAACTATTTCCATGGGGATTTTCTTAGACTTCTTTCTTGTACTTAAAATCTCTCTATGACTCATAATTTTTGTGCAACAAAAATAAAATTTAAAAAATACAGCACTTTAAGATTTCATAGAAACTCTTTGCTTTAAGATAAAATGTTCTTGACAATGTACTGTATGTATCGAAAATATGGATATTATCGAATAATCATATATAAGCTTAATAAAATAGTTCAATCTCATGCGAAACATGAGTAATTTACCTAGTTTTAATATATTTTAAATTGTTAATAAATGTGATGTATTTAACATAATTATAAAATAATATATGTTATTTACTGCAATGACCTAGTTGATCATTTTAGGAAAGTTTCACGAATTTATCGTTTTGCCCTTTTCGATTTTGACCCCAATTCTTTTATGTTGCGTTTTAAAAGTTGGTTTTGAACCTTTAGTTTAAAGTTAAGAATTTGGTAAGATTTGAGTTTGTAAGGCTTTAAGTTGTTAAAAAGTGGGTTTCAGTGTCTTTTGGAGTTTTGAGCATCATAATGGAATTCCGTCGATTTCATTAGTCTCAAAATGTAATTTGGTCTTTTAGGGTTTTCTGTTTTAGATTCAGAGTCTTTTTGAGGATTTAAGATCCTAAGTTGAAAAATTATGGAAATTTAGCCATTGGATTGACTTTGGTCAACATTTGAGTTTTGGATACTCAGATCGAAATTCCAAGAGTTTCTTTGGATTAGGGGGATATTCTTAGGCCTAGGTGAGGCCTTGGTTCATTTTTAAGAGGTTCCGAGCTTGATTTAGCCTTTTTAGACTTTGTGTTAGTTTTTGTGGTTTTCACGAATGTCAGGTCAATGAGACCTTACATTTGTGTTTCGACGGTTCTATTAAGTCCAAAACATCGAGTATAATTGATTTTCTTATATGATTCGTGTGTATGGGGTTCCAAACGAATTCCAATGGTCCTTTTGATGATTTTTGTGTTGGCTGATTTTTCTGGTATCTGACGTCTGTGGTGCTTTGAATTAGCAAAGGATTGGCTGCTTTCACAATCTTTGTGAAAGCGGAGGACAATCCGGATTAGGCATCGCGATCACGACACGGAAGGCTAAGTAGTTTCCCCTTATTTGGATATGAGGGATATACCGAATTCCATGATATAACTCTCACGGTCTTATTGTCAATTATAGCTAATATTCCATAAAAATGACTATGTTTCTTCAAAGTTTTTTTGTTCTATTCTTTATTATAATGTATTTGACTATATTTCATGATTTGCATGTCATTTCTTCTTTAAGCTTTTGAAATATGCAACTATTGGTCATGCTGTACATGTTTTAAGTCATTCATGTTATCATATTTATTTCATGCATATTGCCACATACTTAGTACATTCTATGTACTAATGCATACTTGTGCCTACATTATCTCATAAATGTAGGGTCCGACGTATCTACTACTTACTCTCGTAGCTAGTTGATCTTTAGCGATTCGAAGATCAAGAGTTGGTACGTCCTCATGTTCCGAGGACTATGACACTATTATTGCTTTCTTTACTTCTGTTTCCATACTTGTATGTGATGTATGGGTTATGTTCCAATCACTCTCTTTTAAATGATTTGAAGGCTTATTGAGACTTATGTTAGACTTCCATTTTGTCAAAGCTCTTTATGATATAATACTATGATTTTGGAATTCTTTAATATATTATCTTATATGTTGTATGCTAAGTGGTTTGTATACGGCCTCTCGGGGTCCTATAAGCCATGTTTCACCTAGGGTATGCTTTGGGTTGTTACAAACTTGGTATTTCGAGCATGAGGTTTAGAAAGGTCCTAGAAAGTCTCATAAGCCACGTCGAGTAGAGTCTTATTCATGAGTGTGAAATACACCACATTTATGAATAAGAAGGTATAATATGTTTAGGAAATTCCACTTCTTTCATCACTTTAAATTTATGTGATAGAGTTTAACTCTATATGTGTCTCTCCTAATCCTTATCTGATGTTTTTCAGGATATGGAACCTCAAATAACATATGTTAGGAGTAATGTGAATGAGAATGTGGATCGAGAAGCTCTTCATATTCTGACCGTCCCTTTGGCCAAGCAAGTGACTAATGCAAAGTTTCGAGATAGTTTTCAAGTGTAGGCTCAAGCCAATAGGGAAGTTGTGGTCCTGTGAACCCAAATGTGGGTATGATGGCAACTAGAGTAAGAGACTTCACTAGGATGAATCTCTCGGAGTTTCATGGTTCCAAGATTGATGAAGATCCTCTAGAGTTCATTGATGAGGTATACAAGGTTTTGATGATCACGGGTGTGATGCTGGAGGAAAAAGAATAATTGGTCGCTTATCAACTTAAGGGTGTTGCTCAAGTTTGGTTCAACCAATAGAAGGAAGAGAGGGTGGTGGATGTGGGTCCTCTCGATTGGGAGAAGTTTAAGGTTGTTTTCATTGATAGGTTCTTTTCCATTGAGATGAGGGAGGCAAAGGTAATTGAATTCATCAACCTTCGCTAAGGGAATATGAGCATGAAGGCATGTGCCTTGAAATTCAAACAATTTTCTAGATATGCTCTTACTATGGTTGCCGACTCTAGGGCAAAGATGAACAAGTTTGTTTTGGGAGTGTCCGAAATAATAGTTAAGGAATGTCGTATCCCGATGCTCATAAGGGAAATGTACATTTCTCATCTAATGATTCATGCTCAACAAATTAAAGAGTAGAAGCTTAAGGAAAGGTCTGGGAAGAAAAAAAAGGACAAAGACCGTTGATGGTGACTTTTCACATTCAAGGTCCGATGGACATGCCCGTTCTAGGTTCCGACAATTTTTTTCCAGTCAAGGTTCCTCCAATGCTTTTTCTCCTAAGTTCAACAAAGATAGGGTGTCTAACCCTAAGCCTCAAGGAGAAGATGGTGGTTGAATCTGATCTTCGGTTCCCGCATGCTAAAAGTGTGGCAAGAGTCATCCGGGGAAATGCTTGATGGGTACGGATAATTGTTTTGGTTGTGGCAAGAGTACTCACTGCTTGAGAGATTGTCCATCTAGAATTAAAAATGGAAAGGATGGTAGGCAAGCTCCTCCTAGTGGTTCGGGTTGAAGTGCTCTAAAGCAAAACCAATTCTATGCACTTCAAACTCATCATGATCAAGAGAGTTCTCCCGATGTTGCTACTGATATGCTGAAAGTCTTTCATCTTGATGTTT